GGGGTGGGCTGGGGAGGGGGTTTAAAATTCAAGCTGGAATAAAGCAAAGAGAGAAGAGAAAAAAGAAAAACAGATGACAACTGTTACTAATTTCAACATCGGGGCTGCAGACAGAATTCCCTGAAAGCCCGGCTTTTTGGCTGGGGAGGCAGCTTTATGGGAAGGTAATAGGAAGCAGATGGGCTCTGCTCAGGGCCAAGAGGAAGGTTCAAGGTGCCTCCTAGTGCAGAGAAGAGGAATTTAACTGCTTTTAAAGATGCAGGGCCCGGCGGCTTCCAGGTTTCTCATCCAACTTTTGCAAATTATGAGCTCAGGTGTCCTTTTCCCTTTTTTGAGAGAGAAATAAATACAAACACAGATTTCTGCTTCCAGCTGTCCCCAGTGGGAGGAAATACTTGCAGTGCACCCCCCCCAGCCCCCGGCCCTTCTACCGACATCTTCCCAACATGCAGCAGCCGCACTGCTTCACCCCCAACAGCGTTTCTGGGCTGTGCTATTAGCAACAGCATTAACGAATGAATGAAAGTCACCAGCCCTCACGGTTACTTCTTCTCTCTTCTGTAAAATGGGGTACCAGCACTTCCTAACCATGCCAGGGTTATCGCGATGCCACGTCCCACAGCTTGGCCAGCTCCAGCCCTGGCTCCCTCCTGACCCTACCAAGGGGCTGAGCAGCACTTCAGACCCCGCAGGAGGGCAGCTATGTGGCCTTCATGCGCAGCTCCTGCAAACACAGCACCATGGAGATTCCTGCTCCTCCATCCACTCCAACTTGAAATTGTCCTACCAGTTCAAAAGTTATCATCGGGGAGGGAAGAGCTGCAAACACACGGCTTGCTCCGCGGGCCTTATTTTCTTTGGAAACCAAGCTAAATACAGTGGGGACTGCAGGGTGCTGGGATGTGTGGCTCACAGGCTATGCCAGTGCCATGGAGAGGCACCTGGCAGCTGCGTCACCAGACTTCTCAGGCTTGCCCACCACCCGCACGGATGCCCTGCTCCATGCAGTGGGCTCTTACCTACCACTTGTTATCACAGCTGCCCACTGTGGCCACACAGCAAACCTCACAGTGCCTGTAGCTCACGGATGCCAATCCTAAGGTTGCCATGTTTTCTGAAAACACAGCACCCTCCACACCTGCTGTCACTGCTTCGTGGAGGCCCACAAGTTTTGGCTGTAAACCCTTGGCTGAAATTTACTTCCCGAATACTGCCGCAAGGCAGAAGGATAACTAACTCCTCTGTGTGGTCTCTAGGGACCGTCCTGGTTTCAGCCCATGCTGCTCCGCTCAGGGGACACTCGGAAAACCACCATGTGCCTGTCGCTGCCTGACCCACAGAGCTGGGTGCCGTTGGGGTCAGAGCAAGGGGACACCCAGACTACCAGCCACATCTCTACCTCCCTACAAGAGGAAGCACACGGGGGGGGCTAAAAAGCACGAGGGCCGAGGACATCGTTTAATTGGGGACTGGAACATCTTAAAAGCAAAAGCCCTGGTGAACTCTGCAAGGCAGTGACTGAAGGCAGCCCTGCCCAGGTCTCCAGAGAGAACTCAGTGGCACCTTTGTGTGGTCAGCCTTGCAGAGAGCTGCATGTGCTGGTGGCCACCTCT